GGGGGGGGGGGGAAAGAGACGAAGAGAGCGGAGGAAAGGAGGTAGGATGAAGGGCAATTTGCGACATACCTTTTTTCCTTGCGCGAAACACAGTCGCCCTTCGTCACCGCCGCCAAGTAATTCACTCGGATGTGGGAGACAGTAGGAGAACTCTATATCTTCGCGTCGGAAGCTCGCCGGCTGATCTTTAGTAGTCGGTAATATAGTCGGTAAGCAAGGTCTCTGTACTGCGTAGGAAGATGCAACGGTAACAACGGATATTATGCGCCATTTCTCAGCAGGTGACTCTAGCATCTGTTCCCGCGAGTAACGTACCAATCGAAGCTACCCTTATCGACCAGAAAATGGCGCGCTGTGATGTTCGCGCCAATTTCGGCCGTCGTGATTTGCACTCGAGAAAGAGGCATACAAATCTTTTCCTGCTCAAAGTGAATCGCGCATCTTGTCTCTCGATCGATTCGCATTCTATGAGTGATATTCGCAGTCGAATTTTCTACCTGAGCTCGCCTCAAACTCATCTGAAGTTGCTGCCTAACTCACGCGGAGAGAATACCCAGTCAACGTCGAGCATCAGTTGCTTCACATCTGTTTTATAATTTCGCATTCACTAATGTAAATGTAATGTACAGCACATGATGTATCGCATTTATATTGTTGAATGCGAAATCATAACGCAGATGTAATGTAACTGATGCTCGGTGTTGTGTCTAAGTATTCTAGTCGTTTTTTCATATAAATTCATCTCAACTTTACAATGTATTTTTAGTAATTCAGAAATAAATTATCAGGTCTCTTTTGTTAAACAATATAGTAAATTTTATTAAAAACATAGTGAATTGCGCAACACAAGTGTTTCAATAGCACCTTTTAGTTCTTAAAATACAAGACACATACGAAATTAAAAGATAGTGAATTACTGCAGAATATCGATCTATCCCTCGGTTATCTTGTTTTTATTTAAAAATTCTCCCCATATACATTCTCCCCGTACACATCGCAACATTTCGGAAGGAACTCAAGTCGATCTCGCATATAGGATCGGATTATATATACCACTCTATCCCTCTCTCTTCGAAATTTTCAGTGGCACGCATGTGTTCGAACGGACGGCAAGATATCTTCGCGAATTGATCGCTCAGAGTATACGAATACGGCGTGCAAAATGTCGGTTTCCCTCCATAATTTCGAATCGACCTCATCTCATTCGCAGAATACAAAGAGATTCGGCATGCGATTCAAGTGCGGTTGAGCGGCTCCTTTCTGAGCTGTAACAAGATTATAACAGCGGACTCTCGTTTGATTCCCGATTAAGCGCATCACATACCTCGCTCGTTATTAATGATCGACGATCACTGCATCAGCGGTAAGTCCAACATGCAAATCACTCGTGACTATTGTGCCCCTTGCAATCCGGTGCCGCTTCTTTCGTCGAGTACAGATGCTAGGCACAGGCGAAGAGAGATATCATGATTTTTGTCCGAGCGTTAGTAACGTTAGTCATTCGGCGAAGAGAGATACATACAAAGTTAAGAGGCGAAACATTTAATGAGGCAATTCACCGTACATCGCGCTACTCGCGAGACGAAACGATAAGACTAGTAATATATGTCGATCTTGAATCTCTTTCTCTCTCTCTCTCTCTCTCTCTCTCTCTCTCTCTCTCGCTTCTCTTCTGTCTTTGTTCGAGTTTACGATTAATTAACGTATCACTCTGATCACACATTCAAAGCAAGTTGGTTCTCCTCTATTTTAGAACCACGTTAAAGAAATATTTCTCATTCGTTATGAAAAGGCGTGTCTATAATGCGTGTACAGTGGATTGCGAAACAGTTCAGACATAATGAAGTTGGGAATTTGCCAAGCTGTCAAAATTGAGAATCATTACTGATGGACTTACGCAATAACAATATAATTAATAACATGAAAGAATATCAAGTGATAAGTAGTAATAATTAATAATATAATTATTAGGCAACCTCATTTACACACCCACTTTAATAACTTTCAATTTTGACAGTTTGTTGAGTTCCTAGCGTCATCGTCTCTGAATCACTTTGCAACTCACTGTACAACATTGTAAATTTTATCTCTCTATTGATGAATCGCCTTTTCGAAGGAAAGCGAGCGAAAGTACCTATGCATCACCCGAGATAAACGACGTTTTAGCTTTGGGGAGGCCCCAAATGTACGATACACAACGGGATATGGCGTATGTGACGCGTATATCGGCGTGCACGTACGTACACATACGTGCACGTCGTAGCCGTGCAGATTACGCGGGCCTATCGCGACCCCCCGATGCATTGTGCTCCGTCCAGGAAGGAAGGAGCTTCCACTCCTCGTACCTCCACCGACGGCGGATTCTTCGCCGTACAATGAACTAACTCAACGTGGATTGAGTTGCACCTTACCGGCGATACCGATGCGCCGAAGAACGGCCAATTGTTGGTCGCATCGGACGATGTCGCGTCGGACAGCTCTCGAGATTTACGTGCAGATACTGGCGCAGATCCCTCCTCGTCCTCCTACTCTTCCTCCTCCATCACCACCACCGCCACCGCCACCTCCACCTTCTTCTTCTCCTTTTTCTCCGCGTGCGCCGCGGTGTAAGGCCCGAGATATTTTCTACCGTTACCGCGGCGATGCTATCTCTTTATTGATAGAGACCGCGCGCGGAGCGAGGAATTTTTAATTAGCCCGGAGCATTTCGATTAAATCTCGTCGCGTAATTATGATCTGGCGTTTACGTTACGCGGCGGATCCGCGTCATGTGGAGTGGAGTCGCTGTGCGAATTCGCGTCTGTGCGAGCTGGTCGCGCATAGAATGAGCACACGCGTCGCTCCCAAAATGGAAAGCCGATGAAAGCTTTATCGCTTACGTAGCAACAACCGAGGTTTCGGAGGAAAGGAGAGGCTAGCGGGATAATGGAAATAAAGAGAGTAGAAGGGCTGGAGACACGGAGATAATAGGTAATGTTTGTTGCCAATTAAAAGCGTTAGGCACGCGCGATAATTTGCGCTCTGTTTTTGCTGCAAAAATCGCCCCTTCGCTTCGCCGGAAAATAGGATTCTGCGCTTGACCACGTGGCGTTGCTCGCAAGAAACGAGCGATTCGGCCGTAATGACATCCAGGCCGCGTGCATCCACGCACGAGCACGAAATCCCTTTGACGAGACCGTAGCACCGAGCCTGGAGACCGACTCGAATCGGGGCTCGCATGCGTTATATCGCTCGCGTGCTCTCCGCGTATGACCCGAAGAAGAACTCAGCGCATCCACGGTCGCCAATAAATTCCACGAGCATCCACGGTCTGCATCGCATATTGAGAAACGGCATAATCGCGCGTAGAAATCGCTAATTTCCCCCGAGGAAACTCTAATACTGTCCCAAGCTCTCTTTTTTTCGAAAGGAGGAGAGGACAAACGTACGAGGCGGTTCCGCGTACCCTCTCCGTCGCGATTCAGAAGTCAGCTACTTGCGATTCGCGAGCGAAAAAAGAGGCGAGTCGCCAACTAAATTAGAACCGGCGCCCGCGCGCTTCAAGCGAATCAAGGCTCCCAGCCGGGGCGAGCCGGAGCGGTGCTCCTTTTCTTTTTCACGACGTGTCACCTCTGTCGTCGATCACCGATCCTGAAAAAGGAGCGCGTACAATCAAATATTTCACCTTGTCAGCCGGTTAGAAAGTCCCGCCTGTCGCGGCCGGCCGCGGGGCGGTGTCGCTCCTCAAAAAATGTGTCTCTCATGCATTAATCATGCCGCCGGTCTCGCTCGCGCGATTCTCTAGCTGAACTACATCCGATCTGAATGGCTACCGCGTTATTAGCGACGCCGAGAGTTCGGTCTCCGGAGCTCATTGAGCGCCACGATGTATAATTGCCGTGCAAACGGGTGACCCGAGCCGGAATCTTGGTTCCACGTTAGCCCTGCGAATTCCGTCGAACCTGGAGGACGCTGTGCGGTCTATTGTCCCGCCTTGATGCGACAAATGGTTACTTAATGCCAATTTCCGTTTGTTGCACTGTCTTTGAAAAGGACTTTAGGATTATTTGACATTCGATTGTTTTAAAATATATATAAGTATAGAAAGATAAGTAAAAGAATACAAATTTTTTATTCGCATGATCTCTTTGTTATTTATTTCTTTTATTGGCGTTTTGGAAAATGTACATGTATGAAATATATATTAATTATTTATTGGAGCTGCAGCACTACCGTGCTGTCTGATACGTTTAAAAATATATACGAAGTGCTCTCTAAATTTCTTGAAGTGGAACCTCATTCAAAACGAGTGGCAGTGTTCTCACAAATAAACCTACCCAAAAGTTACACTCCGATTTCTTTTTAATTTGGCACAAATGTAGAAGTACAAAAAATATTAGGTCATATTTTTTCATTTTGGCCCACTTTGAGTTTCACGGCCAGTTTATAGATTTTTAATGTTCTCACTCCTGTAATCAACAAGTGCAACAAAAATGCATAAGAAATAAAATTGAATACAAGATATAGGCGTTTTTGATTTGCTGATTATGAATATGAAGTCAAATGTGTAAAATTATTTGTATAAATAATAAAATGTTTAAACAAAACATGTAAAAAGTTGAAAAAAATTATACAAATAATTTCTCGGTTTAGCCAAGATTCGAACCATTTTGGTTAATTTAGCACAGATTTGAAATATTTCGGTTGGAATTTTGGCTAAAGAAATTTAGAATGGTTCGTGTCTCAGCTATGCCGATTTTGTTAAAATTTTAATTAAAATTGCCAGATTTCGGTTTGGCCGAGATTTGAATTATTTTTTACTAATTTAGCATAGATTTGAAATATTTCGGTTGGAATCTCGGCTAAAGAAATTTAGAATGGTTCGTGTCTCAGCTATGCCGATTTTGTTAAAATTTTAATTAAAATTGCCAGATTTCGGTTTGGCCGAGATTTGAATTATTTTTTACTAATTTAGCATAGATTTGAAATATTTCGGTTGGAATCTCGGCTAAAGAAATTTAGAATGGTTCGTGTCTCAGCTATGCCGATTTTGTTAAAATTTTAATTAAAATTGCCAGATTTCGGTTTGGCCGAGATTTGAATTATTTTTTACTAATTTAGCATAGATTTGAAATATTTCGGTTGGAATCTCGGCTAAAGAAATTTAGAATGGTTCGTGTCTCAGCTATGCCGATTTTGTTAAAATTTTAATTAAAATTGCCAGATTTCGGTTTGGCCGAGATTTGAATTATTTTTTACTAATTTAGCATAGATTTGAAATATTTCGGTTGGAATCTCGGCTAAAGAAATTTAGAATGGTTCGTGTCTCAGCTATGCCGATTTTGTTAAAATTTTAATTAAAATTGCCAGATTTCGGTTTGGCCGAGATTTGAATTATTTTTTACTAATTTAGCATAGATTTGAAATATTTCGGTTGGAATCTCGGCTAAAGAAATTTAGAATGGTTCGTGTCTTAGCTATAACGATTTTGTTAAAATTATTTAACAGTATCTTGTATTCAATTTTATTTCTTACACATTTTTGTTGTACTTATTGATGATAGGAGTAAGAATATTAAAAAACTATAAACTGCCCGTGAAACTCAAAGTGGACCAAAATGAAAAAATATGACTTAAATATTTTTTGTACTTCGACATTTGTACCAAATTAGAAAGAAATCGGAGTGTACCTTTTGAATAGGGTTTACTTGACAAGTCAACAATGAAAATACTGCCACTCGAAATGTTTCGCTAAGCTTAGAGTGGATTCTGATTCTATCTGAGCGAATATTTCGATCAATTAGATAATTTGATCAACTAAATAATTAGATAAATTAGGAATACGCCCCTGTCCCAGTGAAGGAGTATATTAGATTCATTCTTCAATTTCGAGTGGAACTCGAGAGTTCCCAACGGTCGCTTTACTTTCCGAGTGAAATTTTACTTGAAGAAACTTTGAGAATATCGCTGCCAGCGTCCTGCATCCTCCCTCTTGTCTACTCATGGCATTGACCCTCGTGAGAATGCAGTTCGATCGAAAAAGCGCATGTTGATTAACGTGGTGCCGACGAGAATTCGATTAGATATTTCCGAAAGCCATCAAAACACTTGTCGCGTGAAGCGTAACGTCATAACGGTCGGTTGGGGGAAAAAAACGACGCGCGAAAGACCGACACAATGAAACGTAAACACGTCCCAACCGCTCGTCGATAAGAGCCGAATGATCACAACAATCAAAACACTCGGAACCTTCAAGGCGGCCGCGCATACTTTCGCGTATCGCGCACTTTTCCGAGTCAATATTACGTTTCGGGCCGGCGAGCGAGACGCACATATCGCGGAGTGCGCGTAATCAGTACGTCGTTCATAATTCTTTCGGGTGATCGGAATATTTCGTCGGCCTGTAATAGTTGCGTGAGACTTCGTCGGCATCGCGTTATTTAGCACGTGTATTTTTGATCGAATTTTATCCACGCGAGTGTTAGTATCAGTGTTCGGGTCAGTGCTACGAAGGAGCAGCCAGGACGTTGGGTTCGGAAGGCAGGACGCAGGACGTCGGGATCCGGACAGCGCTACGTCGTACATTTGCAAGGTGTGTCAAGTGATTTATTATACAGCAGGTTTTCGTGTTTAACGTTTGATGAACTTGTCGGCGATAAGGAATACCCGAGTCGAAATTTAGGCCGATATTCATAGTTAGAGAAAGAGAGAGAGTTATCATTTGATAAATAATTATAGCAACCTATAGATTCTGAGCATTTATTAAATTATTTTATATGAAAAACATTGATCCATAATGAATAGTGGCCCATGAATACGAATACGTAATTAATTATGTTCCCAATCAAAGATCATGAATAATAGATGCAACTGTGAATACCGGCCTTGGAATTGAATTTCAATCTCGCAAATGCTAATTTTTACGTCTAATAATGCTTTGAGTCGATCTTCTTTACATTTGCCAACGCTTTTTTCTGATTTATCCTTATTGTACCGGAAATCTATCATTAGTAAACACTTCAATTTCTGTCAACAAACACAGCATTATTGGACACCTAACTGTCATATTTGCCTCTTTCAGCTTTTTATCAGCTCTTTTAGGAGCTAAGTCTCATTGAGACTTTCGTCGAGAAAAAAAGATTATGGGAATAAAAGTGTGCTGTTTCTTTTATCCCTTTGTACCTTGATCTTTATTAAATTATTTAATATTTGCTTATCTCACGAATACTCTATGTACAACTGGTAAATTACGCAATGAATACATTGTTGACTGAAATTAAGAATAAAAATAAAATATAGACGATGTACAGAGATAATCAAATATTTAGCAATTTTGAAATGAGTTTTTCTTTGAGACTCAACACAGAGAAAACGGTAATAAGTAACTGTTTATATCAAGATGGGACAATGATCTTTTACGAAATATTTCAATATTCTTCATTGGTCCTGCAAGTTTGACGAAATTTGCAAAACTAATGTAGAATTAAAATTTCGATTCGGGAATGTTCGCCGCCTCGT